TACTTCAAACTACATTAAAGTTTTAAGTTTTTTTTCTTTTTTTTTTTTCATTTAGCTTCAAAAATTGTTGTAAATCAAAATTAACTTCGTATTATTATAAATTAATTAAAGATTCTAAACATTGTATTGTTGGATTAGAAACAACATATCGTGATGGTTTAGAATTAATTACAACATATTTTGTTGAGAAGACATTAGATGGAGAAGCTATATTATTATCAAAACAACTTATGAAACAAGCTAATGTTATAGTAATAAATGAAAATAACACTATAGAAGACGAACAAATAGATGAAAAACATTTGGATATATCGAATGAAAATGAAGATGATGATAAACAAACATCAGTAAAAGAGATTCTAAAAACATCATATGTATCTGAAGGAAATGTTGTTCGATGTGTTACAAAATCTTTTGATTAAAGCAAAGAAAAAAAAATTTTTTTTCTTTCCTTCTGTTTTTCTAAAGAGAAAAAGTTCTTTTAATTATCTATTTTCTTTTTTTTGTGTTATTATTGTTGTACTATAAATAAAAAAAAAGGTAGAATTAGTTTTGCATTTCTATTCGTTTATAAATGATCCGAGCCAGAAAAAAAGAGGTCACTGATGACGACAACTTATCACTTCATCTTACTTTTTTTCTACTTTTTTTTCTTTTTTGCTTTTTCTTATTAACACATTCTCTACTCATTCTAACACATTATCTAGCAGAGAAAAAAAGAATATGAAAAGACAAAAAGCTCGGTAGGAAAAGTATTTGTATTGAGTCTTGCATGTCAAACATCTTGCGTAGAATTCGAAAAAAAATATGGAAACGGAGGAAGAGAAAAAGATGAGAAGAAAGAGCGACAGAAGCGAAGAAAAAAAGACGACAAACGAGTGGAATGAACTACCATAAAAAAAAAAGAGCTTGCTCGCTGTTTTTCTTCCTCATTCTTTCTCGTTTCATCGATAAGTAAGGGAGTAATATAGCCATCATCATTTTTACTCGTTGTCATTATATCATTGTTTTTTTCTTCCGCATACTCATTAATGAGAATAATAATGATCATTGCTTTTTTTTTTTAATTTATAAATAAATAATTTTGTAGATATTGCAACACAAAAAATTTATAACAATGTTGCGATCAATTCTTTTTGTAATTATGATTGGTATGATTAAATCGATTGGTAATACTGAATGTTAATTAATGTAATGATCTTTTTTCTTTAGTATTAAGCAATACAAAAGCAACGCCCATAGAAACGAAAATAATAAAGACAAAATCGAATTTATTTGATCCTATTCTTTCATCAAATAAATATATTGGTCATATACAAGAAAATGAACGTATAGTTGAAATTAAACCACGTTTATATGCATCTGATGCTGATCCATTAAATTCTCCAAATGGTTTGTTATTATTTTCAATAATCAATTTAAAAAACTTTTTTCTTTTTTAGGTCAAATTTGTGGTTATGAATTATCATTATATAAACATGATGATATTGTTAATGAAATATTACAAAATATACCATTTGTAGTTGAATTAATCAATGAAAAACCTATTATTCAACTTAAAACGAATATAAATAAACTTGATTGTGAAATAAAACAATCTTATCGTTTATTTATACGTGCATATGATTGTGCAAATAATAATGAACGTCGTTATTCGGAAAGGTAAATTTATTTTTAAATACAAAAAAAAAAAAAAAAGAAAACAAATAATATGACAAAACAAAAATTTTTTATAGATCATCATTAATAATTACAATTGATGATATTAATGAATTTGCACCAATATTTACACATCAAAATTATTTATTTAAATTACATCAAGATCACAATTGTTTATCGTGTCGTGTACGTAGAAAGAAGATTAGAATAATAATAAAATAAGTCTATATTATTGTTTCCATATTTTATAGGTTGAAGCAACTGATGATGATTGTTCAAATATAGATCATCGTGTATGTGATTATCAAATACAAACACCTAATGTTCCATTTTCTATTGATTCAAACGGTTCAATATCGATTATAACACCTTTAATGAATAATACATATGAATTTGATGTTGTTGCTATTGATTGTTATTCGTCATCATTATTTAAAGATACAAGAAAGATTAGTGAACCTGCAAAAGTTACTATTAAAATAATCAAATCATGTAAACCAACAATAGCAGGTATAAAAGATTTACCTATTATTATATAAATATTTAACATTGAACATACATATAAGATGTGCTATGTAAATCTCAATGAACCATTTGAGATTTATTCGAGTTTTCTATCTTGAGAATTCAAAGAAAAAAAAAATGATTATTTCCGATTACTATTTAATGATAATACTTCATGCAAAATCTTCTTAGACGAAAAAAAAAAAAGAAATTTAGTTGATTAGTAAATCGCATAGTACTAGTTCGGTATGTTTGATTATAGGTTTTTATATCCCCTTTCATAAAAACTTAATTCAACATAAGCACGACTTCTCTTTTTGCATTGATAAGACTTTTATCCACATAAGTTTTCATATTAATTATCAAACAAAAAAAAAAAGACTTAATGACAGATTTCTTATAATACTTTTTTCAAGTAAATAATAAATTCTATAGATAGAAAAAAATTTACAGTGGTGGAAAAAAAAACAAGTCTTTACTCTACTCAGTCTCAATTATCATAAATGTTTAAAAGTAGGAAAACTTATTTTAACATACTCCGCTAAGAATATAGATCAAGATGAAAATTTTTTCTCGATTATTTTACAAATGAAGAGAATTATTCTGAATAGTATCTTTTCATTGCATTAAGCTTTTGAATTCTAACAAAAAAAAAAAAACTATTCATTAATGTTTACACTATTTGAATTTTCAATTCAAGATTTTCTTTTATTCAAAATATGAGTTCAGTCACTCGAATAATTCTATATCTTTAACACAATAGTCATTTCCTGTTTAGTATAATGTTCTTTTCTGAAAGACATGGATAATAACACTTAAATACAGAAGATTTTTTTTCTGGGAGTTTGAACTTCATCGACTGAATTATTCACTGAATTCGGATCTCATCAAGCACTAGATAATTTTTTCTTCTACATCAATGAATATAGGGAAATGTTCAGAATCCTAGAAACGATTCAAAAAAAAAAATTTTTTTTATGACATTAGTTATGTGGATAGTTGGAATACAGTACTTGATAATGAGCTATTGGCAACTCCATAAAACACTTGTTTTTCTGAACTGCAAAATTAAGGGATGCAATAGTTGCTATTCATTACCATCAATGATAATTCACTTCATTCTTAAGGATCACTTCTCTAGAAAATCTAATTATTCAAATAAAAATCGAAGATTTTATCATAGAAATATGCAGTACAATTTGTTCTCTCTCAGAATATTTATGATTTTTTGTAAAATAAATAAATTTTAATAAACTTATTGAAAAAGAAACTCCAGTCCTACTACCGTGATTTCCGAGAAATTTTTCCGTCCTTTATTAAACTTTATCAGTTTCAAGAAGATTGCTTTCTCGACGCCTACTCTTATGTACGACAGATGGTGCTATCTGACGTCATCTGTAACATGATTTTAAAAATTACACGTAAGCATACCATAAATATGCAACTTTTATATGTTTTTCTTTCTGGATATCAATGAAGACATACTTATTTTAATATTTTTCTCATAACATGAAACTTTTGTTGAACCAGATCTTTATTTTCTAGTTGATATCTGTGTTGAGAAAAGCGAGATTTAGTGTCATAAAGTCACATGAATTTTTTTTTTTATTTTTTTAAACATTATATATACTAAAGCGATCATAAAAAAATAAATGAAAATGAATTTCAAAATTTTGTTCTTAAAAAAATTGCACACAGGTGCTGACGTTAACTTGAAACCATTCTAAGCTTTATAATCCTTGTAGTGACGAATTCATAGAGATTCTCTTGAAAGCCATAAATAAATTGGAAGTTCGATCTAGTTTGTCATATCGGGCTGAAATTTTTATCAATAATATTTCTTACTAGGATCATTGATTTCTGAAAATTTCAGTTCAGATGTACTCAAAAATTAAATGAGCCGTATTTTTGGACACAATGTATGACACATTAAGGTGTGACACGAGATACTCTTTGTAATACATTTTGAAAATCCACTTTGAATTCAGTCTTCAGTGCATTTGTCATTTTTTTTTCTGTAGAAATCAATAATTAATATTTTTTTTCAGTTCCATACGAAATTTTCATACCTATTCTTAAAGCTCAAGGCAATCAGATCTTGAGATCTAGTTGTCTTGAATTTCTTTGATATCGATCTGTAAACATGTTCTTAATCAAGAAATAATCTAGAAACAAAGACATATGGAAAATACATAAACTCATCATATTCAATTAAGTTGATTATACGTAGCTGCATGCGGAAAAAGCAATAAGGAATAAATTGTTAGCAGAAGATCACGACACATGCTTATTACAACACGTTTTCATGGTAGAGTCTGAGAGATATTTTATTTTAGTGTATGAATCATTCTAAGTGCTAAATCTATTGTGAGACTGTGGCTCTTAAGCTATCGAAACAGAGCTTAGTCACTAATCTATATTCTTGACAGAGTATGTCCAAACATGTTTTTCTACTTCTTACATACTTATGCTAGTTGATATACAGTAGAACGGATATTTTTACCCACTTCTGTATTTGTTATGTATAGTACTGGTTAAAAATATAAGACCAATGTATTTTTGATTTCTTCTACAATACTAAGCATTTGTCTGAAATTCAAATAGTGATTTGAATAGCCCAACAAGTTCTCTATCAGATGCGTTTCATTCGAAATTTCATAGATGAACTATGTAAGAAAAGTTTCTGAACAACTAAACAGAGTAGTTTTCAAACTTTAGAATATTGTGTGAAAATTAGCTCTTAAGAGTACCATCTTAAAGAGCACAAAATTCTAAAAACGAGAGGTTGTCTCAATGAATTTCGCTTTGTGATGTTTCTAACTTTTTAACAAAAAGATCATAGGAAATATGACAATTCCTCATTTTTATTCAGAATTTTATATTCTTTAACATAATATTTTTAAAAACTAAATTTCCAACAATCTTTCGGAATCTGAAAACTATCATTTTTTAGTTTTTTCAAAAATCTTCCTTTGCGAATCGATCTATGAAAATTTCAGTATTGAATGCATTTGATAGCGAACTTCATTGGTTATTCAAATCACTATTTAGAGTTGAGTTAAATACTTGGCATAGTAGAAAAAGAAATTCGTTGGTCTTATATTTTGATCAGTACTTTGAAAATGATCGATATTTATTTACTAAAATATTATTTTTCAGTTAGTTTCAAAAATAGAATAATCACATTTCTTATTATAGTATAAATTCTCTTGAATCTTCTTAAATTTAGATGATTATCCAACAAAATTAACAATTCAAG